AGCCGGTCGATCCAGTCTTTTTGTTCTTCCAACATAAAACACCTTACACTGAGGACATTCTAGTCTATAAATAACATGGGTAGTTTGACAATTAATAAAATGTCTAATAGAACAGACCTTATTTGTATTTTCATCTAAGAATGTTTTACCTTGTACCACATTATCACAATGGTTACAGTGATGACATTTAAAACAACCCTTAGGTTTATTCCCTAACCAAGAACTTACACGGTTAGGTGGTAAATAACTATGTACCTGTACTAATTTGTCCCCTAAGGTTGTACATTTTCTAAAACTAATCATTGGAGGATCTAGAAATATATTTCTCAGCAATTCATCACTTTGTAGAATTTATTTTTTATTTTTTCAGCATTCGTACTATATTTTGTTACACAATAGACCTTATTAGAATTTTCTACTCTTATTTTTCTTTGTAACAAATTGTCCCTTGTCATATGTTTTGCATGTATCTTAGCTTTTTGAATAGTTTCAAACTTATACCCTCTATTTAAAAATAGTTTTTCTAGACTTTTAGCTTTATTCTCAAAATCTTGTTCATTATCACAAATCCTACGTAATCTTTGAAACTGCCCCAAAGGTATATTATTTATCAACTTGGGAGGGTGAAAACTTTTAGCATGGAGGATGGTATTTCTGTCTGTGGGCTTTCTAAAAATTGATGTGTGTAAAAATCCATCCTTATCTTTAGTAATTTCCTAGTCCAAAAAGTTGATATTTTCCTTGTTATATTCTAAAGATAATTTCACATTGGTATTATTAAGATATTGATGAAATGAAATGAAATCTTCCTCTGAACCTGAAAAAAATAGAATGACTTCATCAATGTAACATCCTCACCAAATAATGTTATGTAAGAAAAGAATTTGATCCAGAGTTCAGTACATCATCTTTTTCCCATTTTCCTAGAAACAAGCCAGCATAGTAGTTAGATGCTATTCACACTAAGTGTAAATAGTGTTAAATGCTATTATTACTTAGTGCAAACTAGGGCTGCACGATAAATCGCATGCGATATTTAA